ACAGTTCAAGGTGTTATTCTTTGCAGGGGATCAGGCGGCTGATCTTTTACAGTTGAAAACTGGGGATATTTTGCATTTTTGGATAACTCGGGTTTCCTACTCAACCATAACTGGACCAAGACGTTGCGATCGGGGGACAAGCACGTCTTCACCTTCAAGAGGGGTACTAATAAGATGGTGTGTCCTCTCGGTGGCCTAGAGCTCTACGTTCGCATTTGAGGCCTTATGGGAATAGAGGTTGGTTCGGGCTACCTTTTCCGCCCTGTTTCTAAGACTGGGACAGTGTCTTCTCAATGCATGACCTCTCAGGCTGCCTAGACGATGCTGAATGTTTACCCCATGTCTTTACGCTGGCAGCTAACAGGGAACACTTCATTCCTCATGGTTTTCGTAGTGGGGCGGCAGTCTCTATAACTGGCTGGTGTAGACTTTTATGCAATTATGGATCATGTTGGCTGGAAGAGAAGTGACATGGCTTTGCACTACATCAAGTTAAAGCAACTGATCAACCCGGAAGGTGTGGCTGCCAGTTTGGCGTATCTTCCGTCTGATGCTGGCAAAGACTACAAATGTTTTGATGCTTTGAGAGGATTCTCTCGGGCTTTCTAAACTGTGCCTAAATGAAATGAAAGGAAAATAGCACAGGGAAGAAAACTGTGATTCATTTAACATAGAAACAAAAACAAAAAAAATCTCCCTAATTGCCGGAGGTGTCTCGGTGGTAATAGTAGAGAAATAAACATATAGTAGACTCTTAAGGATGTATGCTTTACGCTTAGGGACTTGGGATAAGGATTGGAAGACTTGTTTCTCAAGAGCGCTGTCGGGGTGTTTGGGTGTTTCATACGGTGGCATATGGCTTGGGTAGCTTGGGGAAAGTCAGATTGATTCCCCATACCTTATTATAATGTCATGAATAACAATACCCAGGGATGAATATTATACTATTCACTCATCCATTCATTCAGTAAATCGAAGTATACATGGTCATACGCTCACGTAGCTTAACGTTTTTGAGTAAGGGGGTTAGGGAAGGAGTTCAACCAATTCGGGCTATAAAATACAGAAAATATGTGGCAGGAAATTATATACTCACGCATGCGCACCTTTGGCACAGAAGTACACAAATACAAATCGAATATTTGAGTCAAAAGATGGCACAACAAGCATGAGAATAGTGAGTTAGATTAAAAGACACAACGTTTGTTTAAATGATTTGCTTACTGAGTCCAATCGTACTGAATTACAGACCTGTGAAGTAGAGCAACGAACTTTTGCAACACCCTGTAGTGGGCTATTCTGCTGCAGTGCCATGGAATTATAGAGAAAACGATGACAACTTTCATTGTGGGGGTCCAGGAAGGAGGTGATCTAGAATTACCCTTGCGAAATAATGTTTGGAATTCCTCGGAATTCCTAGGAAAAAAATTTTGGAATTCCTAGGAATTCCTAGGTATCGTAGGTGTGAATTTTCACGGTAAATTCGGACTTGGAATTCCTAGGAATTCCCAGTTTAAAAAGTTCTGGTTCTAAATTCCTAGAAATTCCCGGAAATTCCAAATGGAAATGAAACTAGACTTGGAATTCCTAGGAATTCCAACCTACAAGATTTTAAAACACAAAAAATTCTTAGAAATTCCCAGAAATTCCTAGGAATTCCTAGGAATTCTAGGAGTTTACAGGTTTAACATCATGTCATCAATCAACATCCAATGCCAGGATAGTAAAGTATACGCAAATTTAATGATTAATTACCAACTGGAGAAAGCATGGAAATTGCATTTAAACAAGTTTATGATAATAATGTTCAAAATCACATCTTATGGTACATGTTTTGTTTTTTAAAAAATTGAATAAAACAATTAAGTCCTGAGATATAAATTGTGCTTGAGTCATTATTGAAAAATTGTGGGACACATTTGTAACTGGAATAATACAGCAAAAGAGTCTTGATTGAATTAATTTTACAGCGGGAACATATATGTAAAAAAAGAAAAAGTCAGGCCAACTTACTTCCAACAGGCTTATCTGCTAAGCCCTTATTAAGCCGCTCTTTTAATTCAGGTCTCAAACTGAGAACAAAATAATGAAATGGAAACTAGAATACTTGTAGTACATGACGTTTAAACATACTTGTTCATGACTACAGTAGAACCTCGGCGGTGAACTCGAACTCTAAAGGGAAACGAAAAATAGTTCGATTTTAAGTGGGGAATTCGAGTTATCGGGGTAAATTTCAGTGAAATCTTGATCAAGAGAAAGCAAATTTAGTTCGACTTAGCGGGGAATTCGAGTTATCCGAGTTCTAGTTATCGAGGTTCTACTGTATTAAATCCGCCAGAATCTGATCGAGTATTAGCTTATTCACGTAGAATTCCATCAACCATTTGCAACAACGACTACAGTTATGTCTCCAGTAAACAAAAAGGAACCAATAAATGGTTTTCCATGCCATCTTGAAGTTTCGTGTTCAGATATCGGAACGATCTATAATTTCACTTTGATCTCCAGCTTCATTATTTGAGTACTTGGTTACCATCAGAAGACACATGACGAAGCAGGAACGTACCTTTACCTTTCACAATCCAGCTGACTTATCGTTCTCGGACATGACTGGAAGCGCGTTTCATGTGTCAACAACAAAATAAATGAACAATCCGCGTTTAAAATAACGTCAATTTCGGATGCAGCATTCTTGTGCTCTTGCTAATCAAAGTCCGCGTGAATTTGAACTCACCAAACGGAACTTCATTTCACACTTTTCAATTGGTTCAAAAGGCACACGTGATGACGCAATTCACTTAGTGTGAAGTCTGGTAACCAGTATAGCTCAAACATGGCGGATGATTTTGCTCGATGATGAGCAAGTTGAAAAAAGCGGTCGTTTTCAGAGCTAAATAAAATATTCCAACGCTTTTGAGGTACAAGCAGCGAGAGGAAAATTTCGTATTGTTTTTTCATAAAACGATGACCTTTTATTAGGCAAAGCCGCGATGAAAATGGTGTTGTGGACATGTTTGGAAAGCTCAGGTACGAGAAGTGGCACTTTGAATAAGCTTTCAGTATCGTGCTTATTGTTGATAATTTTTTCTAAAGATTTAAGTGGCAATAAATGTTGTATATAGATGCTGGTTAATGTCAAGAAATCCTTGTTATTATAGGCAATTAAAGAAATGATTATTAAAATTTTTTACGCTTTTTATTACCTTTGAACACATCGTTTTTCCTAAAAATTAAGCCAGTTTAACCTTCAAATATCCATAAGCAACAGTGGAAGAAGTTGCTTAACTGAACGAAATCCCAAGCATAGACAAGCAGAAAATCAGCATCACTGTTAATTTTAACCACTGCCTGGAGCACAACCCTAAGCAAAAAATATGCTCCCGGACTAGGGCTAGCACGGCGAACGAATAGGTCGCGCAATGTTGAGCAGGAGGCAGTGATTTCAATTTTTCATCATTATACGCCTCTAATGTCCTCCAAAAGGAAAGGCAGATCTATTGCAGCATCTCCATCTTCTAATCAGTCACCCGAAGAGAAAAGAAGCAAAAATAGTGAAACGGACGAAGTGTTTGAAGCGCTCAAGATGGCTGAGGACGTCGGTCTGAAACTGCAGCATGTGCTGAATAAATTAGAAAAACTCGATTAGATAGAAGCGCATCTTAGCGAGGTTTCTGCCAGTCTTGCTAGTATCGAGGAGAAAGTTTCTTGTTTAGATGAAGATGTACAAGACCTGAAGCAAAAAACAAACAGAGTGGAAAAGAAAGCGTCCAAATTGGAAGAAAGTATCCAGTTCAAAGAGGACGACATTTCAGACCCAAAGAAAGAGCCAAAGGAGTCAAAGTTTGAAATAAATGATCTTCGCAAGCAGTTATTGTATTTAGAAACCTACTCAAGAGGAGAAAATGTTAAATTCTTTGGGATTGACGAGGAAGTGCCGGCTTCTGAAGTTGACTCCCCACCCAAGGATACAAGAGATTTAGTGTTCAAATTCCTGGAAAACAAACTTCGTATTGAAAACCGTCACGGTAGAATCGAGTTCCAGTACTGCAAAGAAAATATTTATACCGAAAAAGGGGAATTTTCATTTGAAGAACTCCGAGCAGCCAGGATGAGTCCATCGATTGGGAAAGCCTAACAACAGCAGTGACAAACGTCGCCCAATTATCGCACGTTTCTGACGATATTCGGACAAGGAAATGGTGATGGATCAAGCACGCAAGGAGTTACCACACAACAGGTCTGAAAGTATCTGGTCTTCTTAGAGAACAGGGTATACCTTGCTCGCTCTACATTGATGACCGCCTTAATGGGGAACTGCTAACGAAATCTGGACCGTGGTCGATCCTCTATTCCGATAGGCGGAAACAATGCAGAGTTAAGGCTGTGAGGGCTGCCATATTTATTGTCTTTTCCGTGCTTGTTGAGCTTGGGTATACGATTGGGATTAGCAAGTCAGTTCTGTATCCGATAACTTCCTTACAGTACTTGGGCTTTCTGGTGGATTCTGAAAAGGAATCCTTCATCATACCGCAGTGCAAGATTGTAGCCTGGGCGTCCTTGCGAGAAAAGATACTGGCTTGTAAGAACTCCATGGACGTTAAGAGTCTGCAACGGTTCTAGGATAAATGTATTTTTTTGTCATTGGCTGTGCTGGCTGCAAAGTTGTTTATACGGGAGATGAGTCATGCAATCATGACAGCTTCGTCCAATGGGCTGGTTCCTCTGTCTCAGGCCTTGAGATCTGAGTTAATTCATTGGCGTTTCCTAGATACGTGGAGGGAATGTGTCCCCAAGGGAGAGGAAAGACCTCTGCAACTTTCTGTGTCTATAGATGCCTCAGGGTATGGTTGGGGCGGCATCTTTCATGAGTCATCTGGTGACCAATTTCTGGGCGATTACTGTGATGATTCCCAAAAGGGGTTGAATATTTCCTAGCCTTAGTAAACTCCATCAGGGCTGCTCCAGAATTTGTGCGGGACTGTCACGTAGACACGTTTATGGATAGCCAGGTTTTGATTGATTCGTAGTATGGTCAAGGGAGTAGAAGTCTCTGAAATTGATGAACGCTACTAAGGACCTTTTCGTCGCCTTGGCAGCCCGCAACCTGCATCTTAATCTTTTTCACGTCTCTTCAAGAGAAAACAGCGCTGATGGCCCTTCTCGCAAGATCTGCAGATCTGACTCCAAGCTATCATCGAGTGTGTGGGAGCAAGTGGAGCAGCCTTTTGGTGGCATAACAGGTCACACATTTGACCTCATGGCCTTGGACTCTAAAGAAGTTATTGGAAGAGATGGGGTTCAGCTGCCTCAATTCTCTCCTTGCTTGAGCCCGTGTTCTCAAGGTGTGAACCTGTTCTGTCAGGACTTGGGGAAGATGGACAACATGTCTAATCCCTATGTTTTCCCGCCGTTTGGTCTTCTGGGTCCAGTCCTGAAGTTCCTCTATTGTTTTGAAATTCCTTTCACCGTGGTTGTTCCAGTATGTCTCCCGCGTCCATATTGGTGGCCGGAACTGATGGTCCGTTTCTTGGCTGGTATCTGTCATCTGTCTGGGTGCACTGGGTGTCCTTCAGGCGCCGTTGAGGTCAGGGTACAGAAGATTTCCGTGTCCTCATTCGTTGTGGATTTTTGGGGTGTCTCGGTTCTAAGGACACTTTTTCCCGTTTTTGTGCATCTATCGCTTTGTTGTGGGGTGTTGTTACCTACCGAGCAGTTTTTTGTGATCTCCTTCATAGAATTGTGAACTAGGTAATAGGTAAGACAAAAGGAAAAAACAAAGGAGAAAAACAAACAAAAAAGGTGTTTTTTGACCCTAGAACTTGTATTTTTGTGTGTTTTCTGTGGGTTTTCTACATTTCTATTTTTCCTTTTTTTTTAACCCACGATGCCGATGCGTGTATGCTAATGATGAAAATTTTCGTTTTTTATCAACGGTGTTGGTACGCAAGGAGGAATGTTTTTGTACCCGATCCCCCTCATAGAGACGAAATTGACTAGGGAATGATTGGCAAACTTTTGCAGCGGTTATCGAAACAACAGTCTTCCTCTAACTATTCCAGGCAGAAGAATTCTTTGGAGAAGGAGCTCGCGAGTTTTCTCTCTAGTTTATCATCCCCTAAGCTTAGCTTTTCTGGTATGGAAGGACCGTAATGGTAAAACGCTCGTTCATCTGCGTGATTGTGTATGGTTCGTGCACACTCCAAGTTTACAGCACTCTTGTAGCTGTCCCAGGCACCTTGCTTTTGGAACAGTGGACGCCTTGATAGGGAAGTTGCGTTCCACTTTTGCCACGCAGGGTAGGGGTTCCGATTGGCAGCCTCTTCTAGGGGTGGGTAGCCCGGCGGCATGCAGAACGGTAAAAAAGTACCTGGCAGATGTAAAAGAGGAACAGTTAACGTCAAGAATTGTCCCTTGTCCAGCGGAACTGGTCCTCCTGGCTGATCTTGCAGTGATTTCTCAGCATATTGAAACTCGGCTCCTGCAAAGCTCATCTTTAGAACCTTCACAAATCTTTGTTTTGGCACGAGATCAGGCGCAGTTCAAGGTGTTATTCTTTGCAGGGGATCAGGCGGCTGATCTTTTACAGTTGAAAACTGGGGATATTTTGCATTTTCCGGATAACTCGGGTTTCCTACTCAACCATAACTGGACCAAGACGTTGCGATCGGCGGACAAGCACGTCTTCACCTTCAAGAGGGGTACTAATAAGATGGTTTGTCCTCTCGGTGGCCTAGAGCTCTACGTTCGCATTTGAGGCCTTATGGGAATAGAGGTTGGTTCGGGCTACCTTTTCCGCCCTGTTTCTAACACTGGGACAGTGTCTTCTCAATGCATGACCTCTCAGGCTGCCTAGACGATGCTGAATGTTTACCCCGTGTCTTTACGCTGGCAGCTAACAGGGAACACTTCACTCCTCATGGTTTTCGTAATGGGGCGGCAGTCTCTATAACTGGCTGGTGTAGACTTTTATGCAATTATGGATCATGTTGGCTGGAAGAGAAGTGACATGGCTTTGCACTACATCAAGTTAAAGCAACTGATCAACCCGGAAGGTGTGGCTGCCAGTTTGGCGTATCTTCCGTCTGATGCTGGCAAAGACTACAAATGTTTTGATGCTTTGAAAGGATTCTCTCGGGCTTTCTAAACTGTGCCTAAATGAAATGAAAGGAAAATAGCACAGGGAAGAAAACTGTGATTCATTTAACATAGAAACAAAAACAAAAAAAATCTCCCTAATTGCCGGAGGTGTCTCGGTGGTAATAGTAGAGAAATAAACATATAGTAGACTCTTAAGGATGCATGCTTTACGCTTAGGGACTTGGGATAAGGATTGGAAGACTTGTTTCTCAAGAGCGCTGTCGGGGTGTTTGGGTGTTTCATACGGTGGCGTATGGCTTGGGTAGCTTGGGGAAAGTCAGATTGATTCCCCATACCTTATTATAATGTCATGAATAACAATACCCAGGGATGAATATTATACTATTCACTCATCCATTCATTCAGTAAATCGAAGTATACATGGTCATACGCTCACGTAGCTTAACGTTTTTGAGTAAGGGGGTTACGGAAAGAATTCAAGCAATTCGGGCTATAAAATACAGAAAATATGTGGCAGGAAATTATATACTCACGCATGCGCACCTTTGGCACAGAAGTACACAAATACAAATCGAATATTTGAGTCAAAAGATGGCACAACAAGCATGAGAATATTGAGTTAGATTAAAACACACAACGTTTGTTTAAATGATTTGCTTACTGAGTCCAATCGTACTGAATTACAGACTTGTGAAGTAGAGCAACGAACTTTTGCAACACCCTGTAGTGGGCTATTCTGCTGTAGTGGGCTATTCTGCTGCAGTGGCATGGAATTATAGAGAAAACGATGACAACTTTCATTGTGGGGGTCCAGTAAGGAGGTGATCTAGAATTACCCTTGCGAAATAACGTTTGGAATTCCTCGGAATTCCTAGGAAAAAAATTTTGGAATTCCTAGGAATTCCTAGCTATCGTAGGTGTGAATTTTCACGGTAAATTCGGACTTGGAATTCCTAGGAATTCCCAGTTTAAAAAGTTCTGGTTCTAAATTCCTAGACATTCCCGGAAATTCCAAATGGAAATGAAACTAGACTTGGAATTCCTAGGAATTCCAACCTACAAGATTTTAAAACACAAAAAATTCTTAGAAATTCCCAGAAATTCCTAGGAATTCCTAGGAATTCTAGGAGTTTACAGGTTTAACATCATGTCATCAATCAACATCCAATGCCAGGATAGTAAAGTATACGCAAATTTAATGATTAATTACCAACTGGAGAAAGCATGGAAATTGCATTTAAACAAGTTTATGATAATAATGTTCAAAATCACATCTTATGGTACATGTTTTGTTTTTTAAAAAATTGAATAAAACAATTAAGTCCTGAGATATAAATTGTGCTTGAGTCATTATTGAAAAATTGTGGGACACATTTGTAACTGGAATAATACAGCAAAAAGAGTCTTGATTGAATTAATTTTACAGCGGGAACATATATGTAAAAAAAAAAAAGAAAAAGTCAGGCCAACTTACTTCCAACAGGCTTATCTGCTAAGCCCTTATTAAGCCGCTCTTTTAATTCAGGTCTCAAACTGAGAACAAAATAATGAAATGGAAACTAGAATACTTGTAGTACATGGCGTTTAAACATACTTGTTCATGACTACAGTAGAACCTCGGCGGTGAACTCGAACTCTAAAGGGAAACGAAAAATAGTTCGATTTTAAGTGGGGAATTCGAGTTATCGGGGTAAATTTCAGTGAAATCTTGATCAAGAGAAAGCAAATTTAGTTCGACTTAGCGGGGAATTCGAGTTATCCGAGTTCTAGTTATCGAGGTTCTACTGTATTAAATCCGCCAGAATCTGATCGAGTATTAGCTTATTCACGTAGAATTCCATCAGCCATTTGCAACAACGACTACAGTTATGTCTCCAGTAAACAAAAAGGAACCAATAAATGGTTTTCCATGCCATCTTGAAGTTTCGTGTTCAGATATTGGAACGATCTATAATTTCACTTTGATCTCCAGCTTCATTATTTGAGTACTTGGTTACCATCAGAAGACACATGACGAAGCAGGAACGTACCGTTACCTTTCACAATCCAGCTGACTTATCGTTCTCGGACATGACTGGAAGCGCGTTTCATGTGTCAACAACAAAATAAATGAACAATCCGCGTTTAAAATAACGTCAATTTCGGATGCAACATACTTGTGCTCTTGCTAATGAAAGTCCGCGTGAATTTGAACTCACCAAACGGAACTTCATTTCACACTTTTCCATTGGTTCAAAAGGCACACGTGATGACGCAATTCACTTAGTGTGAAGACTGGTAACCAGTATAGCTCAAACATGGCGGATGATTTTGCTCGATGATGAGCAAGTTGAAAAAAGCGGTCGTTTTCAGAGCTAAATAAAATATTCCAACGCTTTTGAGGTACAAGCAGCGAGAGGAAAATTTCGTATTGTTTTTTCATAAAGCGATGACCTTTTATTAGGCAAAGCCGCGATGAAAATGGTGTTGTGGACATGTTTGGAAAGCTCAGGTACGAGAAGTGGCACTTTGAATAAGCTTTCAGTATCGTGCTTATTGTTGATAATTTTTTCTAAAGATTTAAGTGGCAATAAATGTTGTATATAGATGCTGGTTAATGTCAAGAAATCCTTGTTATTATAGGCAATTAAAGAAATGATTATTAAAATTTTTTACGCTTTTTATTACCTTTGAACACTTATCGTTTTTCCTAAAAATTAAGCCAGTTTAACCTTCAAATATCCATAATCAACTGTGGAAGAAGTTGCTTAACTGAACGAAAGCCCAAGCATAGACAAGCAGAAAATCAGCATCACTGTTAATTTTAACCACTGCCTTGAGCACAACCCTAAGCAAAAAATATGCTCCCGGACTAGGGCTAGCACGGCGAACGAATAGGTCGCGTAATGTTGAGCAGGAGGCAGTGATTTCAATTTTTCATCATTATATGCCTCTCATGTCTTCCAAAAGGAAAGGCAGATCTAATGCAGCATCTCCATCTTCTAATCAGTCACCTGAAGAGAAAAGAAGCAAAAATAGTGAAACGGACGAAGTGTTTGAAGCGCTCAAGATGGCTGAGGACGTCGGTCTGAAACTGCAGCATGTGCTGGATAAATTAGAAAAACTCGATTAGATAGAAGCGCATCTTAGCGAGGTTTCTGCCAGTCTTGCTAGTATCGAGGAGAAAGTTTCTTGTTTAGATGAAGATGTACAAGACCTGAAGCAAAAAACAAACAGAGTGGAAAAGAAAGCGTCCAAATTGGAAGAAAGTATCCAGTTCAAAGAGGACGACATTTCAGACCCAAAGAAAGAGCCAAAGGAGTCAAAGTTTGAAATAAATGATCTTCGCAAGCAGTTATTGTATTTAGAAACCTACTCACGAGGAGAAAATGTTAAATTCTTTGGGATTGACGAGGAAGTGCCGGCTTCTGAAGTTGACTCCCCACCCAAGGATACAAGAGATTTAGTGTTCAAATTCCTGGAAAACAAACTTCGTATTGAAAACCGTCGCGGCAGAATCGAGTTCAAGTACTGCAAAGAAAATATTTATACCGAAAAAGGGGAATGTTCATTTGAAGAGCTCCGAGCGGCCAGGATGAGTCCATCGATTGGGAAAGCCTAACAACAGCAGTGACAAACGTCGCCCAATTATCACACGTTTCTGACGATATTCGGACAAGGAAATGGTGATGGATCAAGCACGCAAGGAGTTACCACACAACAGGTCTGAAAGTATCTGGTCTTCTTAGAGAACAGGGTATACCTTGCTCGCTCTACATTGATGACCGCCTTAATGGGGAACTGCTAACGAAATCTGGACCGTGGTCGATCCTCTATTCCGATAGGCGGAAACAATGCAGAGTTAAGGCTGTGAGGGCTGCCATATTTATTGTCTTTTCCGTGCTTGTTGAGCTTGGGTATACGATTGGGATTAGCAAGTCAGTTCTGTATCCGATAACTTCCTTACAGTACTTGGGCTTTCTGGTGGATTCTGAAAAGGAATCCTTCATCATACCGCAGTGCAAGATTGTAGCCTGGGCGTCCTTGCGAGAGAAAAGATACTGGCTTGTAAGAACTCCATGGACGTTAAGAGTCTGCAACGGTTCTAGGATAAATGTATTTTTTTTGTCATTGGCTGTGCTGGCTGCAAAGTTGTTTATACGGGAGATGAGTCATGCAATCATGACAGCTTCGTCCAATGGGCTGGTTCCTCTGTCTCAGGCCTTGAGATCTGAGTTAATTCATTGGCGTTTCCTAGATACGTGGAGGAATGTGTCCCCAGGGAGAGGAAAGACCTCTGCAACTTTCTGTGTCTATAGATGCCTCAGGGTATGGTTGGGGCGGCATCTTTCATGAGTCATCTGGTGACCAATTTCTGGGCGATTACTGTGATGATTCCCAAAAGGGGTTGAATATTTCCTACCCTTAGTAAACTCCATCAGGGCTGCTCCAGAATTTGTGCGGGACTGTCACGTAGACACGTTTATGGATAGCCAGGTTTTGATTGATTCGTAGTATGGTCAAGGGTGTAGAAGTCTCTGGAATTGATGAACGCTACTAAGGACCTTTTCGTCGCCTTGGCAGCCCGCAACCTGCATCTTAATCTTTTTCACGTCTCTTCAAGAGAAAACAGCGCCGATGGCCCTTCTCGCAAGATCTGCAGATCTGACTCCAAGCTGTCATCGAGTGTGTGGGAGCAAGTGGAGCAGGCTTTTGGTGGCATAACAGGTCACACATTTGACCTCATGGCCTTGGACTCTAAAGAAGTTATTGGAAGAGATGGGGTTCAGCTGCCTCAATTCTCTCCTTGCTTGAGCCCGTGTTCTCAAGGTGTGAACCTGTTCTGTCAGGACTTGGGGAAGATGGACAACATGTCTAATCCCTATGTTTTCCCGCCGTTTGGTCTTCTGGGTCCAGCCCTGAAGTTCCTCTATTGTTTTGGAATTCCTTTCACCGTGGTTGTTCCAGTATGTCTCCCGCGTCCATATTGGTGGCCGGAACTGATGGCCCGTTCCTTGGCTGGTATCTGTCATCTGTCTGGGTGCACTGGGTGTCCTTCAGGCGCCGTTGAGGTCAGGGTACAGAAGATTTCCGTGTCCTCATTCGTTGTGGGTTTTTGGGGTGTCTCGGTTCTAAGGACACTTTTTCCCGTTTTTGTGCATCTATCGCTTTGTTGTGGGGTGTTGTTACCTACCGAGCAGTTTTTTGTGATCTCCTTCATAGAATTGTGAACTAGGTAATAGGTAAGACAAAAGGAAAAAACAAAGGAGAAAAACAAACAAAAAAGGTGTTTTTTGACCCTAGAACTTGTATTTTTGTGTGTTTTCTGTGGGTTTTCTACATTTCTATTTTTCCTTTTTTTTTAACCCACGATGCCGATGCGTGTATGCTAATGATGAAAATTTTCGTTTTTTATCAACGGTGTTGGTACGCAAGGAGGAATGTTTTTGTACCCGATCCCCCTCATAGAGACGAAATTGACTAGGGAATGATTGGCAAACTTTTGCAGCGGTTATCGAAACAACAGTCTTCCTCTAACTATTCCAGGCAGAAGAACTCTTTGGAGAAGGAGCTCGCGAGTTTTCTCTCTAGTTTATCATCCCCAAGCTTAGCTTTTCTGGTATGGAAGGACCGTAATGGTAAAACGCTCGTTCATCTGCGTGATTGTGTATGGTTCGTGCACACCCAAGTTTACAGCACTCTTGTAGCTGTCCCAGCCACCTTGCTTTTGGAACAGTGGACGCCTTTGATAGGGAAGTTGCGTTCCACTTTTGCCACGCAGGGTAAAGGGTTCCGACTGGCAGCCTCTTCTAGGGGTGGGTAGCCCGGCGGCATGCAGAACGGTAAAAAGTACCTGGCAGATGTAAAAGAGGAACAGTTAACGTCAAGAATTGTCCCTTGTCCAGCGGAACTGGTCCTCCTGGCTGATCTTGCAGTGATTTCTCAGCATATTGAAACTCGGCTCCTGCAAAGCTCATCTTTAGAACCTTCACAAATCTTTGTTTTGGCACGAGATCAGGCGCAGTTCAAGGTGTTATTCTTTGCAGGGGATCAGGCGGCTGATCTTTTACAGTTGAAAACTGGGGATATTTTGCATTTTTCGGATAACTCGGGTTTCCTACTCAACCATAACTGGACCAAGACGTTGCGATCGGGGGACAAGCACGTCTTCACCTTCAAGAGGGGTACTAATAAGATGGTTTGTCCTCTCGGTGGCCTAGAGCTCTACGTTCGCATTTGAGGCCTTATGGGAATAGAGGTTGGTTCGGGCTACCTTTTCCGCCCTGTTTCTAAGACTGGGACAGTGTCTTCTCAATGCATGACCTCTCAGGCTGCCTAGACGATGCTGAATGTTTACCCCGTGTCTTTACGCTGGCAGCTAACAGGGAACACTTCACTCCTCATGGTTTTCGTAGTGGGGTGGCAGTCTCTATAACTGGCTGGTGTAGACTTTTATGCAATTATGGATCATGTTGGCTGGAAGAGAAGTGACATGGCTTTGCACTACATCAAGTTAAAGCAACTGATCAACCCGGAAGGTGTGGCTGCCAGTTTGGCGTATCTTCCGTCTGATGCTGGCAAAGACTACAAATGTTTTGATGCTTTGAAAGGATTCTCTCGGGCTTTCTAAACTGTGCCTAAATGAAATGAAAGGAAAATAGCACAGGGAAGAAAACTGTGATTCATTTAACATAGAAACAAAAACAAAAAAATCTCCCCTAATTGCCGGAGGTGTCTCGGTGGTAATAGTAGAGAAATAAACATATAGTAGACTCTTAAGGATGTATGCTTTTACGCTTAGGGACTTGGGATAAGGATTGGAAGACTTGTTTCTCAAGAGCGCTGTCGGGTGTTTGGGTGTTTCATACGGTGGCGTATGGTTTGGTAGCTTGGGGTAGGTCAGATTGACTCTCCATACTTTATTATAATGTCATGAATAACAATACCCAGGGATAAATATTATAGTATTCACTCATCCATTCATTCAGTAAATCGAAGTATACATGGTCATACGCTCTCGTAGCTTAACGTTTTTGAGTAAGGGGGTTACGGAAAGAATTCAAGCAATTCGGGCTATAAAATACAGAAAATATGTGGCAGGAAATTATATACTCACGCATGCGCACCTTTGGCACAGAAGTACACAAATACAAATCGAATATTTGAGTCAAAAGATGGCACAACAAGCATGAGAATATTGAGTTAGATTAAAACACACAACGTTTGTTTAAATGATTTGCTTACTGAGTCCAATCGTACTGAATTACAGACTTGTGAAGTAGAGCAACGAACTTTGCAACACCCTGTAGTGGGCTATTCTGCTGTAGTGGGCTATTCTGCTGCAGTGGCATGGAATTATAGAGAAAACGATGACAACTTTCATTGTGGGGGTCCAGTAAGGAGGTGATCTAGAATTACCCTTGCGAAATAACGTTTGGAATTCCTCGGAATTCCTAGGAAAAAAATTTTGGAATTCCTAGGAATTCCTAGCTATCGTAGGTGTGAATTTTCACGGTAAATTCGGACTTGGAATTCCTAGGAATTCCCAGTTTCAAAAGTTCTGGTTCTAAATTCCTAGAAATTCCCGGAAATTCCAAATGGAAATGAAACTAGACTTGGAATTCCTAGGAATTCCAACCTACAAGATTTTAAAACAAAAAATTCTTAGAAATTCCCAGAAATTCCTAGGAATTCCTAGGAATTCTAGGAGTTTACAGGTTTAACATCATGTCATCAATCAACATCCAATGCCAGGATAGTAAAGTATACGCAAATTTAATGATTAATTACCAACTGGAGAAAGCATGGAAATTGCATTTAAACAAGTGTATGATAATAATGTTCAAAATCACATCTTATGGTACATGTTTTGTTTTTTAAAAAATTGAATAAAACAATTAAGTCCTGAGATATAAATTGTGCTTGAGTCATTATTGAAAAATTGTGGGACACATTTGTAACTGGAATAATACAGCAAAAGAGTCTTGATTGAATTAATTTTACAGCGGGAACATATATGTAAAAAAAGAAAAAGTCAGGCCAACTTACTTCCAACAGGCTTATCTGCTAAGCCCTTATTAAGCCGCTCTTTTAATTCAGGTCTCAAACTGAGAACAAAATAATGAAATGGAAACTAGAATACTTGTAGTACATGGCGTTTAAACATACTTGTTCATGACTACAATAGAACCTCGGCGGTGAACTCGAACTCTAAAGGGAAACGAAAAATAGTTCGATTTTAAGTGGGGAATTCGAGTTATCGGGGTAAATTTCAGTGAAATCTTGATCAAGAGAAAGCAAATTTAGTTCGACTTAGCGGGGAATTCGAGTTATCCGAGTTCTAGTTATCGAGGTTCTACTGTATTAAATCCGCCAGAATCTGATCGAGTATTAGCTTATTCACGTAGAATTCCATCAGCCATTTGCAACAACGACTACAGTTATGTCTCCAGTAAACAAAAAGGAACCAATAAATGGTTTTCCATGCCATCTTGAAGTTTCGTGTTCAGATATCTATAATTTCACTTTGATCTCCAGCTTCATTATTTGAGTACTTGGTTACCATCAGAAGACACATGACGAAGCAGGAACGTACCTTTACCTTTCACAATCCAGCTGACTTATCGTTCTCGGACATGACTGGAAGCGCGTTTCATGTGTCAACAACAAAATAAATGAACAATCCGCGTTTAAAATAACGTCAATTTCGGATGCAACATACATGTGCTCTTGCTAATGAAAGTCCGCGTGAATTTGAACTCACCAAACGGAACTTCATTTCACACTTTTCCATTGGTTCAAAAGGCACACGTGATGACGCAATTCACTTAGTGTGAAGACTGGTAACCAGTATAGCTCAAACATGGCGGATGATTTTGCTCGATGATGAGCAAGTTGAAAAAAGCGGTCGTTTTCAGAGCTAAATAAAATATTCCAACGCTTTTGAGGTACAAGCAGCGAGAGGAAAATTTCGTATTTTTTTTTCATAAAGCGATGACCTTTTATTACGCAAAGCCGCGATGAAAATGGTGTTGTGGACATGTTTGGAAAGCTCAGGTACGAGAAGTGGCACTTTGAATAAGCTTTCAGTATCGTGCTTATTGTTGATAATTTTTTCTAAAGATTTAAGTGGCAATAAATGTTGTATATAGATGCTGGTTAATGTCAAGAAATCCTTGTTATTATAGGCAATTAAAGAAATGATTATTAAAATTTTTTACGCTTTTTATTACCTTTGAACACTTATCGTTTTTCCTAAAAAGTAAGCCAGTTTAACCTTCAAATATCCATAATCAACTGTGGAAGAAGTTGCTTAACTGAACGAAAGCCCAAGCATAGACAAGCAGAAAATCAGCATCACTGTTAATTTTAACCACTGCCTTGAGCACAACCCTAAGCAAAAAATATGCTCCCGGACTAGGGCTAGCACGGCGAACGAATAGGTCGCAAGAATGTTGAGCAGGAGGCAGTGATTTCAATTTTTCATCATTATACGCCTCTAATGTCCTCCAAAAGGAAAGGCAGATCTAGTGCAGCATCTCCATCTTCTAATCAGTCACCCGAAGAGAAAAGAAGCAAAAAATAGTGAAACGGACGAAGTGTTTGAAGCGCTCAAGATGGCTGAGGACGTCGGTCTGAAACTGCAGCATGTGCTGGATAAATTAGAAAAACTCGATTAGATAGAAGCGCATCTTAGCGAGGTTTCTGCCAGTCTTGCTAGTATCGAGGAGAAAGTTTCTTGTTTAGATGAAGATGTACAAGACCTGAAGCAAAAAACAAACAGAGTGGAAAAGAAAGCGTCCAAATTGGAAGAAAGTATCCAGTTCAAAGAGGACGACATTTCAGACCCAAAGAAAGAGCCAAAGGAGTCAAAGTTTGAAATAAATGATCTTCGCAAGCAGTTATTGTATTTAGAAACCTACTCAAGAGGAGAAAATGTTAAATTCTTTGGGATTGACGAGGAAGTGCCGGCTTCTGAAGTTGACTCCCCACCCAAGGATACAAGAGATTTAGTGTTCAAATTCCTGGAAAACAAACTTTTTTCGTATTGAAAACCGTCACGGTAGAATCGAGTTCCAGTACTTCGAAGAAAATATTTATACCGAAAAAGGGGAATTCTCGTTCGAGGAACTCCGTGCAGCCAGGATAAGAGTCCATCGATTGGGAAAGCCTAACAACAGCAGTGACAAACGTCGCCCAATTATCGCACGTTTCTGACGATATTCGGACAAGGAAATGGTGATGGATCAAGCACGCAAGGAGTTAAAGAGTCAAGAGGACAAACAATTTTCGGTGTTTGACAGTATACCAAAAGAACTTTATGAGATAAAGAAAAGTCAGATGAAAAAGTTCAAGAAAGCCAGAGGCAAAGGCTGTACAGTATACTTGAGCAAAGTGCAACCAGATAAGTTATTTGTTAATGGCAAATTTATCCCTGCAAATGCTCCATTGACAGATTTTGTTTAGGTACGAGCACTGCTCTCTACACATTTCCAGAGATAAAAATGTACATGTAAATATAATACTCTCATTGGAGCTTTTCTTTCACTCTGCTCTCGAATAGTCATGTATTTGCATATAATTTCCTCGTAATCTGTTGTAGGCGTTAAGTACATTCACTTTAAAGCTTTATTTCCAAATCACTGTCTCTAAAGGTCAACTAGGCTTTTTGCTGTCGTACACAAACATGCAATCTCAAACAACTTTACTTAGTTCCATTCCAGAGTGCAGCATTCGAGATAGTTATCTTGCTGCTCTTTTAATTGTTTGTATCAGTATAAAGTGGTTGTACTCTATTGGTTTTGTTTTCGTGGTTATTTTCCTTTTATTCTCTGTTATTCAAAGCTATCGCAGCTTGTCAATAAAGAATTTCTTTGAGTGTCAGATTGATTTAAATGTGTTGATAAATTTTTCCCACCAAATTAGGTCCTACTTATTCTGGCAAAGGGCGTAATAACCAGTCCAATCTTTTGTCGTTAAATGTTCGTGGGATTCGCACTTTTGAAAAGCGGAAAGCTGTTTTTAGTCAGCTTGTAAATTCCGATGCCGACATAATTTTCCTGCAAGGAATCAATTAAGGAAACGATTAACTTATGGAAATGGCGAGGCTTATCTCTTATAGGCAGGATACAAATTGTTAAAACCTTTGCCATCCCTAAGCTTATGTTTAGAGCATCGGCTATTTCAATCTCTAACGATCTCGTGAAACAAGCTGAATCGATCTTTTTTCATTTTATCTGG